ATAGATCCTTACAGGATTGTTACAAACCCTTCTCGAGCTCACGAGAAGGGTGACTGCCTGGCACTTGGAACAGTGGCTGGGACTTCTGTTAATAATGGGAGGGCTGCAGCTGTCACCAGCATTTCGAGGGGGGTGCAGATCCCTGCACCACTAGCCTTTTCCTTCCCCACCCACAGCCTTCCCCCAACATACCGCTGCTTCTGCCTCCTTTGAGACTGGCCCCCAGTGCCTGGAACACCAGCCACTCGTCACTAGGGAGCAAGGCCCTCCCACTCTAGGATGGATGCCCAGTCATCCCGTGCTAGTGCCACCTGCCAGATGCTGCCCCACCTCCCTGGGGAGAAGGGCCCCTGTGAGAGGGGCTCTGGTGGGAACAGGCCCAGGAGGACCTTCCGTGGGTGAAGGTGTCTGTGTTCATCTCCAGCACAGAACTTGTTTGGAGTGTGGGCCGTCAGCTGACCTTTCTCCCTGGGGCATCCCTTCACCCTGCATCCTCCTGATGGAGAACAAATACTAGAACTCAGTCAAGCCATGGGCTCGCCCTCTGGGCCGGCCAAGGAAAGCAGCACAGCCACCTCAGGGGACAGTCACCACGTCCAGCCTGGTCACTGATTCCAGTGCACGCCAGGTGTTCAGCCAGAGCTGCCTGGAAACAGCACAGTGGCTCCGTTTTCATCAGATGATTCTTGTTCTGTGTGTTTTCAGTCCAGCCAGGATTTCCTGGGGATTCCTTTCTAGGGCTACCCTCTCTTTTCTCAGCACCACCAGAGCTGTGTGTGTCCACGTGGCTCTCGTGGCTGCTCTGGCACCTGGTCGGCCTGGGGAGGCTGAGGCCTTTGGCCAGTTTGCATCAGGGCGGGGGAAGAGGGAGGACGCAGGGGGGCTGGTGGCTGGGTCTAGGGTGGGCACAGATGACAGAGCCTATAAGGTCGGCCAGAGGGTGTGGGAGGACAGGAGGACGCATCCGGAGGCCACCTACTCTCAGAACAAGGGACCAGAGCCCACAGAAGATTCCGAAAGGAGCTACCTTTCAAGTCCTGCCCTTCCTGGGGATGGTTTCTGCCTCCTGGTGTCAGGGCTGAGTCTGGCAGAGAGCACAGGCCATGTGCTTGCGCAAGGTGAGGCCAGAGTCCCCTGCACCCTGTGGAGTGCAGTTTACACAGCACTATATATATGTGCATATATTTATTTATAAACATCTATTTAACACACACACACACACACCCCCAGTGGAACCACTTCCTTCCTCGTCCCCCCAGGCGAGGCAGTTCACCCGGAGTCTACACTGTGTCCCCACCGCCCACTCCTCATCTCACTGGAGGCTTGTCCGCTTGCTGAAGTCAACCTGTTTTTACTTGGAAACCAGGACTGTGCCCTTTGTGTTGTGTATGGGAGTGGGGGCACAACGCACTGTCTGAGGTTCACACGGTGTCCTGCATGGAATGGCCGAGTGAACCTGTGGCCACTGACCAGCCTACAGGCACCCGCATTGCTAATTAACTAAACAACTTGGAGAGCACTGCTCCAGCCCCGAAGCAGGGTGCTGGGCGGGCTCAGGTCCCCTGGCCAGGTTGGCCAGCTTCCACCTGTTTGTCCAGCAGGAATGTGGCACTGCCTCGGGCCCAGTCCACAGGTGCATGGGGTGGGTGCTGGAAACCATGTGCTCTTTCCAGAACCCGATTGTCACAGAGGGAAATTATAGCACACCCCACCGTTCTTTTGACATTGTTTCTGTAAGTGGGGACTCAGACTAACATGTAGCTCGTAGATGAACAGCGTGTTTGTTTAAGACTCCTGGGAAAAGTAACTTTAAGAGATAAAGACTCTGACCTTCAGGCATCCCAGCTCTAGGTGGATCCAGGAAGACTAAATCAGGCTGACGCACACAGGACCATCACTTGCCTTATTGGAATGGACTCTGCTCGTCCGCACGTAGAGAGCTTTTCAACCTGCTCCTTGATCTTTTTGTTCTGATCCCCTTTCCTTCCTTACAAAAACCTCTGCCTCCACTGAGATGGGAGATGGGCTTTGAGATGTGAGTCCCCATCTTCCAGGCGGTGGCCCCTGAAAATAAACCACTCTCCTTTACGTCAACACCTGCCTCTCCAGCATCGGCTTTTGCAGCAGCAGGCAGGGGACCTGCGGCTTGGTTACAGCATGAGATCCATTTGTCGTGGTCCACGATTCCTAGTAGAAACCATCCTGGAAGCAGAACAGGCCTGCGGAGCCAGGCGCGGTGTAGACGTCACGCCTCCGAGTGTGCGGACTTTCTCCAATTTCCAGTTTCTGTGCCTCATCACTCCGTCTGCAGCGCAGGCACCAGACAAACAGTGCTTTGTGGGAACAAATAGTAACTCTCCAGTAACTTGATTTCTCTGTAAATTGAGAAGGGAGGGCCAGCTGTCAACTTAAACAGCAGAGCAGATATGCTGAGCTCCAAGCCGGCCCCCAACAGCGAGGGCAGCCTGTGGGGGCAGGGAAGAGGGTGTGGGAAGGGGGGGTCACCTCTTGGGAACAGGACAGAAGTGTTACCTACAGACTTATATCCTCTTTTCCCTCTGCAACAGAATTATAATCACAAAGGATGGAAAAGGACATATCTTAAACTGTTAAAAATAAAGGAAAGGCTACAAATTTGTAAAGTTAAAGAGGTACTTAGAGAAAGTTATGTGTTCTCACTGTGAATATTGGGAAACAAAGTATTTCTGAAATCAATGTTCCAGGCTTTTACTGCAAGATGCGAAATAGACAGTTAGCATAGACTCAGAGGAGGAGAGACTCTTGCAAGAGCCAGAATTCGTGTGACTGAATAGGACCCAATAGAGACCAGGGACACACCAGACTGGGTCTGTAAGCAGATCAATAAAACAGAAGAACGTCTGTCAACATGGGCTGAAGAGCTGTGGAAGGCACAGATGTGTTAACAACGAGACTGTAGATCGGGGCTGCTGTAAAGTCACAGTGAATGTCATGGGCAGCATCACTCCAGTTGTCCTGGAGTCAGGCTCACGGGGAGGAAAACTCTGAGGACTTAGAGATTTCCCCATTAACAAAGGCACTGAAATGAAATCCTTAAAAAAGAGACATCTTGATAAACACTAGCCTTAGAAACCTTGAGACAGCAGTCAGAAATCTCCGTAGAAATTTATCTAGAGATAAATTTCTTTTATCTTTATCTTTATCTTTATTTTTCTCTTTTATCCAGCAGCTGGCTGGAATCCTAACATCCTTCCCCTGGGATCCACCCAGAGGAGGCAGCGCGGGAGGGGACCTGGGGTCAGAACACCTAGGATCCAGTGATGACTCAGTCTCAGAGGCACAGTCACAGGCAGACCCAGGGATTCCTGTTAAAAAAGAAACCACACGTGTCCCTTCCCAGCACTGTAGCCACAGTTCCAATGACACAAGCTATGAACACATCACTAATGGTGAGTGAGGACAGGCACAGGATTACCCAGTGGATGCAGGGAAGACCTGTGATGAAGTCCAGCGCCCAGTCACGATTTAAAGCAAAACACAGTTCTCAGAGAGCCAAGAATGGGAAGGGCATGTTCTCACCAGTGCAGGACTTTTACTGACAGCCTGGGACCAGCGCCCACTTTATAGGAAGAAGCATCAGCATCGGCACCCACGCCAGCAGGGCAGCAGGTCTGCCGGTGCTGCTTCCGTTCAGCCTCCCACTGAAACAGGAGCCTCCGGCTGGGCTGTGGGTGCCCCGCCCCTGAAACCGGAGACGAGAAGGGCCATTAAACATTGCCATCATTAGCAAAATGTGGTTATCAGATCTGCACCGTCCGGCAGGCAGCCTCAGCCACAAGTGGCTGTTGAGCACTTGAAACATGGCGAGTATAAGTTGGGACTCCCTGTAAGCATCACACACTGGATTTCCAAGACCTGAAAAATGTGTGGGTGCTCTCGTAATTTTTGTATTGAGTACACACTGAAGATCGATAGTCCAGGTATATTGGGTTAAATAAACTATATTAATTTCATCACCTGTAGTTTTTAAAAATGTGGCTGCTATAAAATTAAAAATTGCCCTCGCGGCTGTCATTGTATCATGTGGAGCAGTGCAGGAGCCCAAGGGACTCGGCAAAGCCCACAGTAACAGCCAGCGTGCACTCGGCTGCGGGTGACAGAGACCCAGCGGTGCCGCGGAGGGCTTCTCAGTCTTGTTGGGTTGAGACCTCACCTGTCTCTGCATCAAACCTACATGTTTGAAATTATTGGACATAAGCACTGCATCTGGGCATCATAAAGCCTTTGTGAGTGTTTAAGTCTCTCATCCTCTCCTGGTCCATCTCTGACTGATCCGCTGAGTGCCAGCTGGTACAGCAGCAGAGCATCACCTCGTGCATGGACGTACTTGTGTTTCAGTGACAGCTGCTGGTCCCCCCGGGACTCTCTCCGACTTGACCACTCTGCCGAACCCATGTGTCCATCACTTCCACCCCATGTTGGCACTGTCCCATCACCTGTGGGGCCTGCCCTTCTCCATGGAGCCCCCACCTCCCTTCCCACTGTCCCCCAGCTAGACCCATGGTGGCACATTCTCTGCTGGGCTCCCTTGGGCTGGAAAGCCACCCAAATTCTCTGGTCCTCCTTGTAGTCCAATCTCATCGGCTCCATACCTGCTATCTTGCCACTTCACAGATGCCAGCTTAGTGCCGCAGCAGCATCCTCATATCACAGAAGGCACAGCTTCGGGGCTGCCTGAGGGCCTGGGCGTGGGGACAGAGGGCTTCGACTCCAGGAGAGAGCTCGCCATCCCCTTCCTCGGCCGACTCTCAGGGATGACTTAAGGAGGGAGTGGGGAGGTGGGGCGGCAGGTCACCCTGGGTACGACGACCAGGGTGCTGCCTGCCTCTCCCAGCCATTTGTGAGAGAGCAGCACCCTGGCTGGGGCGTATACCCACCCAGCTCCTGCACAGCTTCCATAGGAGTCAAGGGAGAGATTCCCTGGTGACTGCTCCTGGAATGACCTCAGTCTGTCTCCCCAGATTGCAGTCATGACGCTGACGCTCTTCCCCATCCGGCTGCTGCTTGCTGCCTTCATGATGCTGCTCGCCTGGCCCTTCGCGCTCATCGCTTCCCTGGGACCCGCAGAGAGGGACCCGGAGCAGCCCCTGGCCCTGTGGCGGAAGTAAGTTCTTGCCTGTGACGCTCTGATGTGGGGAGTCACAGGGCCATTTCTCTGTTCTCACAGCTCCCAACCCCGCAGCGTGGTGTAGTCCATCCTCCCCTCCTTGAGGCAGTGTGCGCTAGGGCTGCACTCTCCCCGTGGGGACACTGCTGTCCCGGCTGCAGCTCCCTCCCTGGCGCACCCCTGCCAAGGTCTCCAGCTTCTAACAGGGCCTGTCGAGCCGTGTGACTGCTATTTCCATGTCCCAAGCACAGAGATCCCTCGTTTTCCATGTTTCCCAGCCCCCCAAGTGCCAGCTGGCACATGTTCCACCTGCCGCCCCTGGTCTGGTCTCTGCAGGGTCGCGTGTCCCTCCTTGCTTTGGAGACACCTGAGTGCTTCCTTGCTTGTACGTAGTGAATATTAGAAACCCGGTGTTCTGTAGGTGGACACATGAACACGTCTCAGCTGAAGACCCAACATGGACCTCAAAAAGTTTAATCAGTCACTTTTCCTGTTGACTAAAGCGCCTAAAGCTGCAATGTCAGAACAGCATAAGGATTTCGGTATCTTTAGTGTCTTAAAAGGTATCATTCATACTGAGAACTCAAGTGCTGACAACCCGTCCATGTCTTGGCATCTTCAGTCATAAGGATCCTTGGTGGTTGGTTCAGAAGTAGAAGCATTGTTAGTTCAGTGGACAGAGTCCAGCAAAGTACCCACAAGCCAAGGCTGGCTGCTGCTCGTTTTTTGTAAATAAAGGTCAGTTGGGACACAGCCACGCCCACTCGTTTTACGTGCCGTCCAGGCTGCGGTCGTGCAGACCCGAGGAGCGGTGACAGAGGCCACGCGGCCGCAAAGCCTAACATACTTGCTTTCCAGCCAGTACGGGCTGAGTGGGTGGGCTCATCCTCTGTTCTCGGGAAAGAGTCGGAGCCGCAGGCACATTGACGCCCAGGGAGGGCGTGGGGACTGGCCCCTGTCCTGAGTGTGGGTTCTCCTGACACCCACGTGCCCTGGTCGGACAGCAGTTACACGCAGGGCAGAGGTTCGAGGGTGTGCTGAGCTGTTGTTGAATGTGCTGTGGCTCGGCCTGGGGGTGGTTCGGGCGTCCAGGGGACCCTTCACATGGGGTCTTCATGCGCTCGTCCTCAGGGTATTTCATTTCTCAGACCATTCTCGGTTTCGAAGGGACCGCAGTCTCCCTTCCCCCCTAGGAGGTCCGAAGGCAGGCTGTGGCCGTCTCCCCACTCTGTGCCAGGTGTGGTGCACGGCCTGCGTGTGCCGGACGGTGGTTCCCAAGTGGATGAGTGCGTGGGAGGAGCGGGTGAGTAAGTGAATGACGGAGCCAGAGCTGGGGAGGGCGAGCGAACGAGCGCGTGCTGCTGGGCCTGGCGTCCCCGCGGTCCCCTCGGCCCTGGGGCGGCACCGTGAGCCTCTGCATTTCTCCTTCCCGGGTTGTCATTTCCCTTTGAAGGTCACGTTTTTTGTGAGTGGTGTTTTTTTTTAATGTTATTACCGTAAAATATAAATTTGGTGTAAAATATAGAATGGAGCAAAATAAATCTAGACCAAATAGGAATCAAGATGTCCATTTTGGAAAGTTGAGAACTGTCGCTAGAAAGCAGAGATTTTGTAGTTTCGACAAATTACAAATGATTTGATTAAAAGTTTGGTATTTTAGTAGTGACAGGAAAATGACATTTCGCAGCACTTTCTGTGTGGATTCTTGTTTCTTCTGCTCTGTCCTCAGGCAGAGCCCCCCTGCCTCCACCCTCCTCCCCCAGCTTCAGACTCTGACTTTTCCAGATAGATGCCTCTGGGCTGCTTTCCATTCCCCAGACCAACTCCAGGAGGCCTTTCTTGTCTGTGAATAATTCACTTGGCCTCATCGAGTGATAAATGGGCCACAGCAAACAGTTCCCATAGCCCTGCCTCACAGATGCCTCACGAACGTCCCGTGTGAGTGGAGAGCCCCACACAAGGAGACACAGGGTGTCTCCAGTTTCACGTGCACTCTGGGCGTGTAGGTCCACAGAGACGGTGTATCATTCTCTCTGTGTACATGTATATACATGTGCGTGTTTCTGTGTGTGCATATGTGCTGCATGTGGGTGCAGGCATGTGTTGTGCGCACACGTGTGTGCCCATGTGTACCACAAGCATGTGCATACTTACATGCATGGGTGTATCTGTGTGTTTCATGAGTGCATACATGCACACGTGTGCACATACTTAGGCTGCACACATTGCCCTGGGTTGAATTCCCGAGACACAGCCCTCAGGGTCTCCGTGCAGCAGTATATTACGGGAAACTCGCTAATGCTGGGTCCTGGGCTGGGGGTGGTGCTCTGTGCACACGGAACTCCTCAGAGGGAGACACAGTGAGAGGGGCCAAGTGTGGGACCCGGGGAGTCAAGAGGAAACAGACTTTACAATAATGGGGTTCAGAGCAGATGCACTTCTGGACACACCGTGGAGTACCATTGGGCATCCGGCGCGGGAGGAGGTCCCTTCTTACTGCGCACAGCTGTTCGCTTCTGAGCAGACCGATGTTCGATTAGGGAGCATTTTTCTGAATGTAAGTTAGTGTCATCCAGAAGTTCCTAAAATAAAAATCTTAGGCTTTTTAATGAGAGGAGGAAGGACACACTTTTGCAAAAGGCACTCACTCTGAGTTACTTTCCAAACACACAGTGTTGTGAAAACTGTTGTATCATCTTGCACAACCTGACCAGCAGACTGACTGACGCCAGAGCCGGGCCGGGCCAGGCGGACCCACAGCAGTGGTTGGTCTCCGTGCCGACCCTCTGCACTCATGTGGGGGAAGGAGTGTGTCTTCGTCCTCTCAGGCTGTCTTAACCTAGAACCACCAGCTGGGAGACTCAACAGCAGACTCTCATGGCTGGATTCTAGAAGTCAGAGGTCAGGGGGCCAGCCTGGTCAGGTCCCTAGTGAGGGCCTCTTCCTGGCTGCTGGTGCCACCTTCTCACTGGGTCCTCACAGGACAGAGTTCTGGTCTCTCTTTTTCTTCTTATAAGGACACTGGTCCTATCAGATTAGAGCCCCTCCCTATGACCACATTTAATCTTATTTCTAAACACAGTTATATTGGGGATTAAAGCTTCAACATAGGAGTTTGGGTGACATGATTCAGTCCTGAGTGCTTCATGTGGGGACTCCGCTCTCAGATCTGAGTCCATCTTCATGACAACTCCTGCTGCCATGTGTCCATTGGAGGGTGGAGGCTGGACTTGAACTTACTTTTAGCTTTCCTCTGCTCTCCTAGAAGCCTCCCCCACCCCCATGGTCTCAGTTTAGGATTGCCGCAGAGAAGCCCAGCAGCCCCCACGTGCCCTTCACGTCTGCAGCCCAGCACTGCCTCCACGCCTGCTGCCCAGGAACCGTCCCTACCACACACAGCCCCTGCCCAGCACTGAGCTCGAAGCTCCGTGCAGCTCCAGAACGTGGCCCAAGACTCATGCTCTTCCTCCTCAACTGCCGATGCTTCCCTCCCTGGGGTGGTCCCATCAGTGCACAGGCCAGCTGTCCCCTCTCCCATGGTCTGGGTGCTCCCTTTTATAGCAAAACCATTTGAAATGTGCATATCAGTCTCCAAGACCACATGGATCTTAAAGATCCAGGTGGACTGGGTTCATGCTCCACTCCTCACATGCCTGCATATTCAGGGACCAGCACCCCAGCAGTCACCCCAGGGCAGTCAGGACACTCCCTCCACCCGGACACACCATCTCCCTCCTCAGTGTCCAGTCATCCCCCACCTCCGTGGCCCTTTCCCTGCTGTGGGCCCGTCATGTCCTCCTGGCTGCGTCCCCCTACTGCCGACCTGGGCTGCAGTGAGTCCCTGTGCTCTCCTGCTGAGCTCCTCTAGTTCAGGATGTCTGCAGCTCTCCACAAGCCAATGACTCCCAGGCTCCTTCCTTCATCCCAGACCTCTCCTCAGCCCACCTTGGAGCTTACCTGTATGTGGGTGGTCTTTAGTTCAACACGCCCAAACAGAGCTTCCAGGCTTTCATCTCCCCACCTGTTCTGGCCACAGCCCCACCTCCATCGATGGGACTTCATATTGTCTGTGGCCAGGCCAGGCCCAGGAGTTCCTGGGACTTCCCCTCTTGCACACATATCTTTCCCACCATCAGGAAATGTAGTGGCTCCACCTCCAGAATGCACTTGACCCCTCCACATGGTCCCACTGCCTCTGGCCCAAGTGCCAGTGTGGCCTGTCAGCTGCTCCACTGCTTCTCTGTGTCAAGACAGCAGTCAAGGCTCCTCTGCAAATGGAGTCAGAGCTCGGCTGTCCACTGCCTCCACCCTGCAGGCGCCTGTGTCCAGGAACCGCAGAGTAAAACTCTCCTTCCCGTCAGCACCTGCAAGGCCCTCGTGATCTGTCATCCCTCCCTCCCTGTCTTCTACCACACTCCTGTCCTTTCAGCTCTCTAATGCACTCCCACCCCAGGACCTTTGCACAGGCTGCTCTCCCCCTTTGATGTGCTTCACCCAGATGTGCGCAGGGTTAGCTCATTACTGTATGTCTGTGCTCAGTGGTTTTCCCTCTGCTGTTCCAGACCCTCCCGACTTTGCTTTCCTTTTATTTGTCTTGTTTCACGGACAATACCTCATTTTGATTTACTCCGTGATTCACTAATTTTTTTTTAAACTCATTTGCCACCCTAACGAGTGAACTGCAGGTGGGCAAAGGTTTCTTCCTGGGTACCGTGATGTGCCCTCATGCCTGGCAGAGAGTGGGTGCTCAGTACACATTGCAGAACGGAGGGAGTAGAGTCGCGAAGGAGGACGGGTGGTAGGAGGCAAGTCTGTGGCCCACCCTTACAGGTCCCACTCTGCGGTCTCCGCCCCCTGCTTGTAGTTTGTCTCCTGTAGGCACTGCGACCCGAGGAAAGACCTGTTACTTGGTCTGTTGAGGACAAACCCCCAACTACATGGCGGGAGGCAGCGAGGTGCATTTATACGCCGTCTCACATTGCAGTGCCACCTTGTGGTGACTTAGTACACGCTCCTGTCGTGGTCATGGTGTTGGACGCTCGTTCCGCACCTGTGATTCTCTGAGTTATGTGCCCATTCGCTGGCTTTGTGTTTGAACTTTCCTTCCTTGAACTTCTTTTTTTTATTTTGCAGAATTTAGACCTTTTGTTTTGCCTCTTAACCAAAGCATAGTGAGCCCTGAGCATAGACCTCGTGGTCACCGCTGCTGCTGGGACCCCGTTCTCCTCCCAGTGTGCGTCACCCAGCTCCTGTCTGCTGCTCTCTCGGGCACCATCTGCTGTTTCCTGGGCTTGTTTCTGTTGCTTTTTCTGGGGTTTTTGTCTAAGACTTTCTGGTGTGTCAGGTTCTTTTCTTAGAAGGAGGACATACAAGAAGAACTCAGACATGTTTCGTGTCTGCTAATATCTGCAATCTCCCTCTCCCTGCACAATTGGTGGATAGTTTAGGAATAGAATTAAAGGTTCCAAACCTCCCCTGGCAGGTATGGCTCAGTGGATTGAGCACCAGCCCACAAACCAAAGGATCACCAGTTCAATTCCCAGTCAGGGCACATGCCTGGGTTGTGGTCCAGGGCTTCAATTGTGGGCACACAAGAGGCAACCACACATTGATGTTTTTCTCCCTCTCTTTATTCACCGCTTCCCCTCTAAAAATAAATAAAATCTTTAAAAAATTTTTTAAAGGTTCCAAATCTTACATCCTCAGAGCTCTGAAGAGGTGGGTCTGCTGCCTGTTTCACCTGCAACACTGTTGCTAGAACACCTGTCTGATCTTCACTGGGAGGTCTCAGGGTCTTTTTTGTCCTTTGTTACTTCAACGATTCTTGAGGGAAGTTTCAAAGTGTGAGACTTTTTTAAAAATTCAGCACCTCGACAGGGAGTGAAGATTTATGTCTTCCTTCAGCTCAGAGAGACTCTTCTCCTCTTGCCTTGTACTCTGTCCGCTTCCCTCCTTTTTCCTGCTTGTTCTGGGAGATTCCCGCTCCTCGTTTTCCAGACTTTCTTGTGAATTGGTCATTTCTTCAGCGAGACCATTGATTTCCAAGAGTGTTTTCATGTTCCCTGCACTGTCCAGAGGGCCTTGCTCTTGACCATGTGTAGCAATGCTGATGACAGTGTGAGTTTTTAACCCCCTCCCCCTTCTGAGCCAGCTCTGGGGATCTCTGTGGCTCACAGTCTGTCACATGGCTGGGGCTGCCCAGATCTCAGCCTTGATGCTGTCCACGTGTGTGCTGGGTGGAGGAGAAGGTGGAGGTCCCTGCCCTCATACAGGTAGATCTGTGTCCCAACTCGCGTTTCCCTAGAGAAGCTCGAGCACCTTGGGCCTGTCACTGCGGGCTGAGCCTTAGTGTGGGTGGTGCTGGGCCCCGGCGACTTCCAGCAGCCAGAGGGCTATGCTCCAAGGCCACGCAGCCTTCTGCACTTTGAGTGGGGACGGGATTCCTCCAAGACCTTTGGGGAACTGTCAGGTCACCCCCCACCTCATGTCTCTGCCGTGGGCTACCTGAGCTTTGATCTGAGGTGGTGGGTGTGTCCTTAATTGAGAGATTGAGAGATTGAGATCTGGTCCCCACTCTTTAAACCAGCTCTCCTCCCCCTTCTGCCCCCGAACCTGCCTCCCAGGCTTGTTTCTGTTCCCACGGCAGCTTCCTCCACGGCCCCGATTCTTCCTCCTCGAAGCCTCACTTCCTCCTCCTCATGCGTCACAGGGCGTCTGTCCACTTTCGTGTCTGTGCACGTTGTTACCGTGAACAATAACGTGCATATTACATGTGCAGTAGGACACGTAGTGGCGAGTGTGGGCATGCACAGTCCCACCAGCTCTCGGTCCCCGGCATCCCCGCCTGCAGCCTCAGTCACTGTTCACCCTCAAACAGAGGTGTTTCCAGTGGCTTCTCAGGGTCCTGCGCTCTTCTGGCGACCGGCGACTGCTCAGAGCAGTCAGGCCTCATCTTCTGGAATTTTCAAGCCTCTCGGGAGGTCAGTCTGGTGGAGCTTGAGGCTCTGGCGCTTCTGCAGCGACTTTGCCCAGGTGACCACCCAGGTGAACCGGCGGCCGAGTGAGACGTGGCTCCCTGTGAAGCCGACTCCTTCTCCCTGTGGGCTGGCGCGCGTGCAGCCCCAGGGACGCACTTGCCAGGACACTCGTCCACGTGCGGCTTCAGTGACATGTTGAGTACTGATCTCGTTTGTCACTGCCAGAGGTTACCATGAAAGGGAATGTACAGACTTAAACGCCAAAATCCTCATATATTTTTTTAAAATAGGACATAAATTCACTTGATCTAGGCTGGTTTTATTTTATCTTCCACATTTATTGTTGACCTAATTATACCCAGAAAAGGTTCATTTTAATAACACTACATCTGATTCTGGGACCCTCAGACAACCTTGGAAGACGAGAGTGGGGAGTCTGCATGCAGGCCTCTGCTGCCAATCTCAGCTCCGGGTCACACTGTGATATGTACACTGGGTGTGTTAATGATTTATCACTTCAAATGTATTTGTACACTTAGAATGCTAGTACACATCTTTCTAGCCTTTAAGGTATCGGTATCTATAATTCGGCCCCTGTTATATATTCCTGGGTCACGTGTCATCTTAAAGTTGCCGAGTTGCAGAAGAGCTGGCCCTCGATTTTCCTGAGTAAATGAATGAAGAAGACCTCCCACTGCACATTTAAATAAAGGGAACAGTACCTTTCCCCCTTTAGAGGACATTTCAGTAACAGTTGTTGCAAGTATAAGTTGGCCCTGGATGGCTAAGCCAGGTCAGCACTGAGACCCCAGGGCTGGTCTCCGTGTGACTGGCCCCGTGTGACTGGCGTGTGCCTAACGAGGTGGGCAGGGCTGGGACCCACCGCTTGGCCTCCTCTGACTTGCACCTTCTTTCGCAGAGTCGTGGACTTCCTGCTCAAGGCCGTCATGCGCACCATGTGGTTCATCGGCGGCTTCCACCGGGTGGCCGTGAAGGGACAGCAGGCCCTGCCCACCGAGGCGGCCATCCTCACCCTGGCACCACACTCCTCCTACTTCGACGCCATTCCCGTCACCATGACCATGTCCTCCATCGTGATGAAGGCCGAGAGCAGAGACATTCCCATATGGGGAAGTGAGTAAGACCCCTCCCCACCCACTGGAGGGAGGAGCCCCCCACCTGCTGGTTAGAGCTGGCCACTCCCACAGGGAATAGTCACTGGGTCTCCTGTCCACATTTCCCCTCCTTTGTGACCTCCTCTGTAAGGAGGAGATCCCCTCCTCCTCCATTGTTGTGGTTTTATTTTTTGTCAGCACACTGTTGCCCTCAGATACAACTCACTGAAGTACTGCTTCAAGTCCTATCGCAGAGGACTCCATCTGGAAGTCTGGGAACAGCTCAGTAGCTCCAGCCCCATGCCCTAGTCACTGTGCCCAGGCTTGTGAGCATCCTTAGGCTGCGTGACAGATTAGGAAACCAGTGGCTTTAAAACAACAGAAATGTGGGCTCGCTCCGGAGCCAGAAGCCTCTTCATCAAGGTGTCTCAGGGCTGAGCTCCCTGGGGGACACCAGGATGGGGAGGGTCCTTCCTGCCCCTCCCGGCTCCTCGGGCTCCAGGCATCCCTGGGCTTGTGGCTGAGTCACACCAGCGTCTCTCTTTGTTGTCCCATGGCCCCTCCCTGTGTCTGTGTCTCTGTCTCTTATAAAGACACTTGTCATTGGATAATCCAGGACGATCTCACTTCAAGATCCTCACCTAATTACATTTGCAAAGACCTTTTCTTTAAAATGTTCTGGGGGTTAGAACGTGGACACGTCTTTTGGGGGTCACCACTGAGCACAGTTACCATCGTTGTGGGAACTGTAAGTAACCTGGGGCAGTTGACATGGTCCGCTCACTTCACAGGTGAAAACATGCTGGGCCTGGCCCAGCCCGGTCCAGCTAGAGCGCTGTCCGTGGTGCCCCGGGGGGCTGGCCAGCCTGTGCCAGGTCTCGACTGCCCGGGTCTTCCTCCAGCCGCCCCACCCCAGCCTCTGCTCTGGTCCTCGCCCCCCGGCCTCCCTGCCTTTACACTTCACTTGGGTTCCGGAGCAGGGCCGGTCCAGGCAGAGGCAGGCGATGCTGGGCCAAGGGCCGCGGGAACAGGGGCATCCGCTGGCCCCACGTCCCCGCTTCGTCCACCTGCTCTGCGTTCCCACATGGCACCTAACACTTTAGTGTTCCTTTGACAGTTATACTGGAGGCTGCTGTGTGGATTTTATTTTGATAAGCTGGACATTTTGAGGGAAGGTCCAGCGTATCGCTGCTGTTGGCAAAATGGGTGCTGCCAATGTCGACTTGATTAGATGTGGGCCAGGGGGCATCTGTCCAGGCCGTGGTCACAAAGGGTCACAACAGGGCGGCTCTTAAACAACAGGCATTCATTTCTCACAGTCCTGGAGGCTGGACGTTCGAGCCCAGGGTCTGGTCTGGACTGGAGAGGCCCCTCCTGTGGGTCCCAGGGATCGGTGTCGCCTCCCCTCCCTCTCTCACTGGTTTCCCGCAGCCAGGAGTCCACGCCTTGTGGTCGCGGTGCATTCCCGCGGTGCACACCCTGTAGTGTAGCCCTTGGGACACGTGGGGGTCCCGCCTGTGGTCCAGCCTGCTGGGGCGGAGGCAGTGCTCCCGACACAACGCCTCGCCCTCTCTTTCAGCTCTGATAAAGTACATACGGCCGGTCTTCGTGTCCCGGTCTGACCAGGACTCCCGCAGGAGGACCGTGGAGGAGATCAGGAGGCGGGTGCAGTCGAAGGGCAAGTGGCCGCAGGTGACGCAGCCCTGCTCACACGAGAGCAGGCTTATTCCAAAAGGTTCCTTAAAGATGGGGGGGGGGGGCGGGGAGAAGCCAAAAGACCAGAAGTTGCCTTCCCTGAGGGCTAGAAGTGTTTAGTTTCCTTTTAGTCTTGATGAGTGTGCAAATCTAAGAATCTGCTAAATAGGTGCTTTTGGTTCTGGAATTTTAAAATTTAAAGAAACAAGGAGAAACCATTCAGATCTGCATCTCAAGTTCCCCCAATCATCTTTATTAGCAACAAACCTTTGTATAAGCTCTGAGTTGGAAAGAGCTGCTAACCTGCCCACGGTCAGTGTGGCCGCGTGTCCGAGTGGTGTGTTCACCCGCTGAGTAGAAGCAAGCACTGCTTCTGGGCAGCCGAGACCATGCTGCCTGTCATGTGTCTGCTTCCCGACCCAGGCCATGAGGCGTGGGCCTCGGCTGGTGGTAGCTGTGGGTGTGTCTGGCCCATGCTGTATTTTTCTTTTTTCAACTGAGCCGACACTGAGAAGCTGGAAACCCCACAGGACTCTGGGTTCTGGCTTCACAGAAAACACTGAGGTTGGGGGGCCTGGCTCTCGGCACCTGTGCCCACGGGCAGCTACTCGAGTGGTCCCCTGGGTTGCCACCCCTACAAGTGCAGGTCATTCCTCTTCCTCCTTCAGCTTGCTTGCCAGATCCTTGGCACGGCGGGGTTGGACTCTGGCTGGCTCAGTGCCATCTGGAGACGGTCTTCTCCTCAGGAGCCTGAATTGAAAGCACCCACCTGGGCTCTGCTTTTCAGCAGTGGAGAAAGTTCACGTGCCTTTGCTAGAAGTCAGTACAAGTCAGCGACTGGAAGTCCAGTGGGGAAGGTGCTGCTTAACAGCAGATTCTGTTCATGTTTGCACTTGCTGGGCCAGCACCCCCACCTCCCTCAGGGCCGTCCTGAGTCCCAGGTCCTTTAGACGAGGGCCGGCTGTCGTCTGTGCGCCCATGTCCTGCTCTGCCTGCGGGACGCCTGCTCCACACTAACATTCACTCCGTGCAGTTGTGCCTGGTCCTTGCGGCAGCCGGGGGGCGGGGACCATGGTTACCCATCTGCAGGCCCCTGGTCTGAGAAGGTTGCTGTTGTCTGTTTGCATTGCATCCAGATTTTGATAAATCCCATAGTTAGGACATGGGCGTAAGCTTCCATAATGCATTTCAACTTGTTCAACTGAAAATGGTTAAGGTATCTAAATTATGTCAGCAGTAGTGAATTAGATTGTGAAAATTGGCACCTGTGAACTCTGAATTATGTCTCTTTATTGCTGAACTTTTTTTTTTTTTTTCATTTCAAGATAATGATTTTTCCAGAGGGAACTTGTACCAACAGGACCTGCCTAATTACCTTCAAACCTGGTATGTAGTTTTCTTAATTACGTTGTTTTCTTTTTGAGAAAGTGGGGAAGACCCTCGCTCCCACCCGGCCTCTCAGCTGCCCCACCAAAGGGCAGCTCAGCCTGCAGGCGCCCCCCTCTGCTTCCTGCCGGCAGGGCCGCGACCCCAGAATTCTCCAAGTATTTCCCACCAGCACAGATATGGGGGGAACCTTGCAGGCGCTGGATCTCGGCTGACCAGGAAGGCCTGGCGGGAAGCCCCGTTCGTCCCGAGGCCAGCACGAGACGTGCAGGCGCAGGCCCCGCTGCCACGGCAGTACGGAGGTGTGCCTTCGTCCCTTTTCCTGCAGGTGCCTTTATCCCGGGAGTCCCTGTCCAGCCCGTGGTTTTGCGGTACCCGAATCAACTGGTGAGTCTGCTCTCCTGAGGATTCGAGTTAAGGTGAATGGCCTGGGCGTGAGAACTGGGAGGTGTTTGGATGCACCGATATCTGACTTGCCGTGGTATTCCCGAGCGTTCCGCACAGAGTCCTGCCTCCGTAGGCCAGGAGGAGGCGGTCCTCCTCTCACAGGGTCGGTCCCGACATTGCACGTCAAACACACAGCCTGCTCCCATGTTGTCAGCAGCTCTCACTGCCCAGTTCCCACCCCAGGACAGTGTCAGAGAGTAGTTACGTTCTGAAAGGCTGGGGCAGCAAGGGAGACAGGATTCAGGTGACTTTGTCGTTTGTGTGCCTTTATCTTGCCTTGGTTGGGTGTAGAGGTTTGGTTTGTTTAAGAGAACATAAGGGATGTTTTGGCTTCCGAGCTCCTGAACAGTCTTGAGGGACCCCCAGCTCAAGGGCAGAGCCTGCCCGAGTCCTCAGAGCAGGCTCCGGCCGAGGCCCCACTGGCCTCTGTGTCCGCCTCTGGGCAGCCGTCACGTCAGCCCTTCCCTCGGTGCCCGGTGGCATTCTTTCCATGCCGGCTGTGTCTCACCTGTGCCGTAACCCCATTCGGTGGACATCCTCCTGCCTCCGTGAGCTGAAAGCCTCTTGCAGTGGAGAGAGGTCCACACACACTCATGTCCCGGGCTCTCCGGGTGCTAGAGGCACCAGCGTGGTCCCCAGGGGGGGACGCGTGAGGTGCATCTGCTCATAACATGGAGCTTTCTCTCCGCCACAGTGTGTCTTTGTGACAGCAAAGGAAGGGACTCACGGGTCAGGGCACAGTGGGCTCTAGAGTCCCTGGTGTAGATGTTGGCAGGATTGCACACGGCATCTGTGGACACAGGGGGCTTCTGGGCCGGGCCCTTGGGGTCCGAGGTCTGCACGCCGGATCCTGTGCCTGCAGGTGTGGGCAGGCACAGTCAAGGCTGTCTGAGCAGCCAGTAAATGTCAGTCAGAACTGGTCTCCACTCAAACAGACAGATAAAATTATTCTCACTGCGCAGCTGAAACTGAAGAGGCGTATTTATTCACTCTTCCCTGGAGAATCTGACATCGGTGTGTAGAATTCTAGATTTTCTGTTCTTTAAGTTTGTTCCATGAGTGTATTTTAAGCAGGGACCTCACTGGGTTCTAGCAGCATTCAGCTCAGCAGTCCGAGAAGCGTAGCATCTGCTTCGTCCTGTGCTGTGGGCCCGGCTCCCACGCTCAGCTGCATCCCCAAAGGAGCAGCCCCGCTGCTGGCAGGTCTGAGCACAGACCCATGCTGAGGGGGCAATGTGGGGCACAGGGAACCCTGTGCATGGGTTCGCACAGGCCTCTGAGGTGGCGTGCAGCAGGTGTCAGGACTGTGGAAGGCAAAAGCTCACGTGGGTGACCAGCGTCAGGGTAGAAACAGGCACCTGGTATCCAGTGTCCCCACCTAGGTGCCTGGCGCGGCTGCCGAGGCTGAGGATGGAGAGGGTGTGAAACGCCCCCGTGGGGCCCTGGGCTGGCATGGGGGTGCAGGAGACACTGCCCTACAGCGGCTTGTCCTACCGCCTCCCGAGCCTGGGGCCGACCCACAGGAGTGGGGGTGCAGGTGGGTGTTGGGATGGAATGTGGCTGGGTGCTGGGGACAGGCCGGCAGGTGCTGCAGGCACTGCAGGCCCTGCAACCAGGCCTGCGTGAGCAAGCCTGAGAGAGCAGATGGACAAAGTGGACTGCTCGTTGCACCTGGAGTTGCCAGGGATACCTTGAGAAGGGAAGGGCAGAAGAGGGGAGCTGGGGCCGGGTCTTAGGTGGAGGTTGGCAGTGGTGACCTTGGTTTTGTGGGAAGAGAGATGAGTGTATCTGGGGGGAGGTCTGGGGACCTAGAGGTGGTGAGCACCCAGCTTCTCCTTTGCCACAGAGTGGACTAGAAAGATGGGGAGACCAGCATTGCTGGGGTCGGTGGGAGGCTAGGATGAGGGCAGAGATGGGGACGGGCGTGTCTGCGGAGGGAGGAGCCATGTGGCCTCCACGGGAACTCCTGACTCCTAGCCCTGCTTCACCCACTCATTTCTTGCCCCCAGGACACCATCACGTGGACGTGGCAAGGCCCTGGAGCGTAAGTCAGACATTGTGCTGTCTTGTTTGTCCTGTTCTGCGGGAAATGCCCCAGTTACTTTTAGCCAAAGTGAGACCTGAATACGGGACCTGCTGCTATTTGATAGCAGTGAGATTCAGCCCATTGTGAAAACTAAATGTAAAAATCAGGCCATCTTCATACCCTGGGTTCCAGGAATTAAATTAATTTGTGCCTTCAGCCCAATGAGAAAATAATCATAAGTCTTCTTTTCTTGCCCTGTGTCTGTCAGCTCAGCGATTACCAGCCTGTCCCTGGAAGAGGCGGCAGACCTCCAGGTGGCTGCCCTCCTCTTGCTCAGCTATGGGGGGAAAGGCACAGGGGTTCCAGGCAATTCTGGCCCCCAGGGTGCTGCTGTTCGAGCTGGTGTTTGGAAGAGGAGGGTGGGTGCTGAGGCCAGGCCAGAGCCCTCCCAGGGCCCCCAGGCCTTGCCGAGGTGTTTGGATTGGGACTCCGGGGAGGCGCCCTGAGGCGCGGCATGTCTTGAGTGGTGGCCTTTGCATTTCTGAGTCTGGAATGTGGACAGTGGGTGGCGAGAAGCGAGGTGTAAGCTGGGAGAAAGGTTGGGGAGGGGCTCCTTTGGGGTCTGGTGGACTGGGCTTGGAGCTGTCAGTGATAAGGCAGAAGTGGGGTGTGTAAGAGTTAAGAGGGGAACTGTGTATCAAGGGGGTAGTGAGTGAAGGCCCAGGGACAGGATTCTGGATGGCTCCCCATCTCCACTCCTGCAAATAAAAGTGTGGTGACACTCACTCTGAGGTCAGGAACTCTGGGAGCCAGGCTTGGGGATGGCATGGCCTAGGGCCTGTCCAGCCTGGGCTGCCGGGACATCTCCAGGGCCAGGACAGGTGAATGAGCTTCCTGAGCTGGAAGACAAGCTTGGGAAATAGTGTCTTGCAGTGCAAGCTAAAGTTGCAGATACAGGTGTATTTAAGAAGAATAGGGAAGACTGCTATTTAATAAACGAAGCCTTGTCTCTCACTGCTGTGTTTCAAGGTTCAGATTTAGGCTGAGGAAGGCGCAGCACCCCCTTCCTGAAGGAGAATTAACTGTCCAGTGCTGCCCTCTGCAGGGCAAGGGATCTGGAGTTGTGCTCCAGATTTGGAATAGTTTAACTCGATGGAATTTTTTTAACCGGTGCTATAAATCTACTTGTTTTTAAGGTTGGAAATCCTGTGGCTTACCCTGTGTCAGCTTCACAATCGAATTGAAATTGAGGTTTGTATAGATATAGTGTTACACAATGTTATCTTTGGGTTATAGACACATTCTATCGAGGTCTTTTATAGATTTAGTATTATATCAGTGTCTGTACAAACATAATGCTATACAGTGTTATGTTGTCTGTATAGATACAATGCTATGTAGGCATCTACGTAGGTACAGCGTTACATTGTATTATGTTGGGGTCTGTATAGAAACAATGTTATATCATCTGTCTCTTTGAACTCTTCTCATTTCTCACTGGCTCCTCAGAGGTGCTTCCTAGTAATTTTGCCTCAGTTAGTTTGTGTCTCTTCAATGATTTTGAATACATGCAGATAAGATTTTTTAAATCTACAAATCCATCATTCTTTTATTATGCTTAGTGCAGCTTAGGGACATATAAAATTGACACATATGCATTGAATAATGTTCTAATTTTTACCTGACACTAATACTGCTAAATTCATACTGCTAAATTTGTCATGCTGTCTGTCATCCTCTCTCTGACACTTGGTTAGGTCATGTAGCCTGCCTTTCAGTTTGCATCCCATTGAATGTCTCAGACAAAGTCGCAATGCCCATCCTGTCAGCTGAAATAAATTGTAAAGGTTTTCTGAGTGAATCAGAAATAGAGTTTATTTTTTTAAAGGGAATTAACAGGTTACTCTTGTACCTGAAAATTAAATATGAGTTATAAGCAACTTAAATATTTAATGAAACAGTTTACTACCTTCTGATAAATTTTGCAGAGTAATACTGACTATAGATGAGCCAGCTTTCCACCAGGTTTTTCCCTTCAGTAGAATGTAAGCCACTTAACACTCAGGACTGAGCCGAACGGGCCTTGGCCCAAGTTCAAGTGTAGCAAGGCCTCTGCTTAGGATATTTTATGTGGCTCACCTGCCGGTGGAAACAGCTCTATTTCAGACCTGGCTTCTAATTGTGAACATCGGAGGGAAGCTCTGCGGCTCATGAAATTCCTCTAAATGTATCTGCTCCTGGTGTCGCTCCTCCAGGACACTGGTGCTAATTCGAGGAACTGCTGCAGTTACGTGGTTCTTTTCCATGTAGCTGTAAGCGAATGGAGTTCTATGGTGAGAATTAATAGGACTTCAGGATATTCCTGAATTCTTAAGTATTCATATTAAACAAAAAGGGCTCGTGCTTGTTTGCCTCTTCTGCATGGTAGGACTTATTTAAAGGGCCTTGTAAGTGTTGCTCACTCAAAGACACGTTCATGGGACAACTTACTGTAATCTCCAAATACAGTGTCAAAGAGCTAATCACTGTCTCTTAGATAGAAATAGTTTGTTGTGTTATCCTCAGCACGAAACTGAGAACTTCAGAAATGAAAACACACACGTACATAACTCTTTTGCATGTAAAGACCAAGCCCCTGTGTGAAGTTACAAATACAGTTCACAGACCACAGCTTCGGTGTCGGGGGAGTGGGCACTCCTAGGGAGCAGTGGTGAGCTGGGAGCTTTCCACACACGTGTACATTTATGTATGTGCACGCACGACCACTTTGGACATGACTAATGGCAAGTGCCTTGGCAGATCTCAATTTTGTCAGTCTCACGATTGTCACTGAAGGTTGGCGTGGGTAAGGTGGGTGTCTTGTGACACTGTGGAAGTGACTCGGTCTTCTCCGTGTGCTCAGTTCCTCCCAGTGTACAGCCCTTCGGAGGAGGAGAGGAAGGACCCTGCCCTGTACGCCAGCAACGTGCGCCGCGTCATGGCCGAGTGAGTGTGCCTTCCCCCTCCCCCGGGCTCTCTGACCCCCCGTGACTCCCTGAGGGTCACTCTGGACTCTCATTCACCTGCTGTTTTCCTCCTTAGCACTGCTAAAAATAAGGAAGCCAGTAACATCAGGAAAACAGGCTCCTGACAACCCAGTGAACAAGCACGGACTGTGCCTTTGGGGCGCACACTGTACGCCTCTGCTTTTGTCCAATAACATTCTGTTGCTCAGCATTTCAGAAGAAGCTTAATCATCACTTAATTTCACCAACATCGAATGTGCCCACATCCATCGATGCCCCCGGGTGCTGTGTGCATGGGCGCCCCCATAGTGACCGGCAGCAGAGCCCGCGGTGAGGGCGCTGATCTGTGCAGACTTCGGGGTCTGGGCAGCAGCATCCTCGAAGCCTCGCTGCCCCTCTACCCACAGAGTGTGAATTAACGCCCCTGCTCCATCGCACCGGGCTCGTGTGGTCGCTGCACACCTAGGCTTGGGCAGTGACTCGTCCCACTGGTAGCGCATCCATGGCACAGTCAGGACCTTGCCCACCTCGTCTTGCCTGCTGTTCCCGGCTTGTTCCAGGCAGCAGCAGTGTCACCTCACGTCCCTCCTGCTCCAGCCGCCCTCGTCCCTCCTGTCCCGTCCTCTCCCCATCTCCTCTCTCCTATTCCAGAGCAGCAGGAGCTGCCCCCCACTTTGCCCCCCTCGGTGCCTGGGGGTTGCTCAGCAGCTCAGTGGCTCTGACAGTGAGTGGCACTTGCATGGGGTCCACACAGCTGCATAGGGGCGTTAACAGTTGCTCTTGCTGACCTGTGTGACTCAGCTGTCTAAAGTAAAACATCTCAGCGCACACACTGCACCCTCACTTCACTGCATTCTGGGAGACTCTATTGGGCGAAATCGTGCATGTCACCTCCACCTGCACGAATTAGAACTCAGCAGCATGTTCGGTCTTTGTCCACAGGCTCCTCAGAAAGCTGGGTGCTGGGGACAGAGTGCACTGCCCCTCCCACCATCCTCTGAAACTCCTCCTCCCTGTCTCTGAAGTACACACCGGCCACCAGGATGCACTTGACCCTCAACTTTTGGGAAGTTAGGGCTCTCGGTGACATCCTTGTTCGGCCTCTTGATAAAAAATAACATTCACCCATGGAATGGCAGGCTCAACGGGTTAGGTATAAATATTCTTAATACACATTGAAATTAACTATTAACAATTTTAAAGATATGTATCCTAAAGAAACTATCTATATTAACAGTGGGGAATGGTGATACATTCCATGGAAAAGGACAAATAACCCATGGGGCACCCTCTTGTCACAGCAGAATTTCAGTGGGCTGTCACCTCTCTGGTCTCTAGTCTCACCTGCGAACGCACCTGGGCAGGGCCAGGATCCCCGAGGGCTCTGTGGGCCGCCCCTGAGCTGGCCTTCCCCTGCCTTCCTGTGGAATAGTCCAAGACTCTGCTGACACGAACCTGACCTCTGTCCCCGAAGGGTTACACCCAAGCTTGTCAAGGAGAGCATCAGGGCTACTATTTCTTTCTCACATCACTGCACACTGTCGTCATGGCAGCAGGAACTTTTATTCTAATGATTTGAAACTCATTCCATTATTAGGGTGAGGGGCTGTTTAGTTTTCTATCCTGGGTAAATTTTCTACCCTGAATGTTTTCTTTAATAGTCAGGAGAGGTTTTTTCATGGACTCTGACAGAGTTCTGAGAGGGGCTGAGTTCCGACTCTCTCCCCAAATTCAGAGCAGTGCCAGCTCTGATTAAAGCGGTCCCTGGTGACCTGTGAAGAGTGGAGCTTCCCCATCAAACACCCCCTTGGGACAGTGCTATCATTAAGGCCCAAATGCATGCTTGTTATCTAATGGGGCGCAAACCGAGATAATTCTGAGTTAACAGCAAAGCTTGGGGCAGCCCCAGGAATTGAAGTTCACGGTCAGCCATCAGGCAGTTATGTTTAGTGCTAAACATGGACTTTCCTCGTCACCCGTCTGTGCTGCTTCATATTCTGAGTCTTCCCCTCATGTTTAAATCACCGTGTGGTGAAGGTACCGTGGGGCTCAGAGCAGGATGCAGGGTGCGCGTGCCGGCATTGCCACTGCCAGGGTTCCTGCCAGCAGAGCTGACGCGGGAGAGACCCCAGGGAAGCTCCTGTGAAGCAGGGCGGCTGCCCTGCAGGGGGCGCTCATGATAGGGCCCCTCCTCTGCCGTAGGGCCCTGGGCGTCTCCGTGACCGACTACACCTTCGAGGACTGCCAGCTGGCCCTGGCAGAAGGGCAGCTCCGTCTCCCTGCAGACACCTGTCTTCTAGAATTTGCCAGGCTGGTGAGGGGACTGGGGTGAGTGCCTTGTTTTGTTTTGTTTTGTTTTTACTCTTAAACAGTTAGGATGCTTGCTTGAAATCTGTGACAAGCATTGGGGCTGCGGCGTGTGACAAGGCAGGTATGTTGCACTCGGTAACAGTGAGAGAAAAGCTTTTTACTGGACCGGAAACTTCTGGCAGAACCTCACAGGGGCCTCCGCCCTGCAGGTGTCAGTGCCCGAGCTGGAGGTCCCAGTGGCACCCAAGCGCTGCCCAACATCTCCCTGTTGGGACAGGGAGTCCAGGAGAGAGTCGGACTGCTTATTCTGGTGGTTGGTTACTGTTTTTTACTTCAGTCCACGTGGCAGCGAGCGCCTCGTGGTTGATGCACCCCGCACCCCGGGGCGTCCTGGTGTGCTCCCCGCCGGGGGCACGAGCACTTCTGCAGACGCTTAGACAAAACTCGCTGCATGCCTTCGAGTTATTAGAAGCCTCTTCTTGAAAACCAGCTGCTCAGCCGATATGTAATTTTGAGATTGTGATATGTCTTAAAACAGTAAACTTCCTGTTTTGGGCATTCTGTGATCTTAGTGAAATGAACCTTTTTCTCTTTTTTGTTTAGCCTGAAACCAGAAAAACTTGAAAAAGATCTGGGCAGATACGCAGAAAGTGCCCGGATGAAGAGGGGAGGGAAGATCGACGTCTCCGAGTTTGCCGCGTACCTGGAGGTCCCCGTCTCGGACACGCTGGCTGACATGTTTTCCCTGTTTGATGAGGTAGCCCTGTCACCCGGTGAGGGGCAGGGGCTGCCAAACCTTCGATTTTGGAAGTAGAGAAGGGAAAACCACCCCTAAAGGGCCCCATCCTAACAGCCCACCTGTCTCACAGAGAAAATACAGAGTATTTTCTCCCATGGTTTTAAATGCACAAAAAATTGACATTTAAATTCATGTTTGCTGACGAACATGTCCGTAGTTTAGGTTTCCTTGAATCAGGTCACATGGTGATGCAGGCCAGTGGCCCCTGCCGTCCTGTCCCAGAGGCCCCGCTGACCCAGCGCAGCCAGACCTCCAGTCATGCGGTGTGTGCCAAGGGCTCCTTCAGCCACGAATGTTGCATGTGAACAATGGAGTGTGTTCCGCATGAACACATAGAGTTTCATGTGTGTAAAATGTGCCACGTTCCATGTGACAATGTTGCATGCTCTTCGTGGCCACAAGGCCCAGCGTGCTCTGGCATGGCAGAACAAGGACAGTCGGGTGGCCGATGTGGGCACAGGAGACCTCGTGGGTCTGCAGGTCGTGAAGCACCACCGTGGGCAGCAGGGGGGCCCACCCGGGGGTCCCCCAACTACAGACGGCTTTCCACGAGTTGAGGCTGTGGGTTTCTATTACCGTCAGAGCCACATCTGTGGCTGCGTTTCACTTGGCACTTTGATGACAGTGTCAGGTTTGAAACAGGAGAGTGAGTGTGGTCCCAGCTGGTGACACTGATGACGTGTTATTAGCAGCGAGCCTTGGTCGAGCCCCAGACACCTTACCACAGCACGTGGGTTGTTCATTTTCACTGTTGAGTGTTTTGAGGGCACGGTGGTCTCACAGGTCAGAGCCTCAGAGAGCCTCAGATGGGAGGCTAAACACCTTCCCAGAGCCGGGCGCACATCGGCTTGCCACCTGGCGTGAACTGGGCCTGCGTGGCACCTGTAGCTGCCGGGTGCCATGTGTCTGCGCCCAGCGGGGACTCGCCTTTATTCTGCATGTGCACTGTGTGCTTCCCACAGGCGAGGTTCTCAAGGCCCAAGTGTGACCCCTGTCATTGGCAGGTTTTTTTCTAAAAGGAAAGGTTTTGCAGGCAATAGGAATCATGCCTCACATACTGAAAACTGGTTGTAATGGCCTAAAAAGGTGGGTTGTAATGGCCTAAAAACGTTCATAACCACTGACTTGGAGAAGTCAGTGGTTATGAACGTCCTTCCAAATGCTCTTTTCATGTAGACAAATGCTCTCAAGTTTTTGTGGAGCTAGCCCTTAGTTGAACGCAGCAGCCCCTGTTGAACCCCAGCTCTCCCAAGGGAGGTGGCTGAGCTGCCCCTGAGGGTGTCTTCCTTTCACAGAGTGGGTGCGGCGCAATGGACCCGAGGGAGTACGTGGTCGCCTTGTCCGTGGTCTGCCGGCCGGCCCAAACCCTGGACACCATGCAGCTGGCGTTCAAGGCAAGTGCAGGGTGCATTTGTGAGTTTAATTTGTGGGGACAGTGAGGCATGGGTCACGTCAGATCTGTGATGCATCTTTATAGTCCCTAAGCTTACAGACTGGCTGTGGCCATGCTGCCTGGCGGGATGGGGGCCTACCGGAGAGCTGCAGCACCGAGGGAGGAAAACCGGGCCACTCTGGACAGGCAGTTGGGGCTGGCAGGGCCGAGGACGAAGGGGGGGTACCTCGGGGTAACGCCAGGCTTGCCTTGCAGATGTACGGGTCTCAGGAGGACGGTAGCATAGACGAGGACGCCCTGTCCAGCATCCTCAAGACAGCCTTAGGGGTGGCGGAGCTCACTGTGACCGACCTCTTTCGGGCAATCGACCAGGAGGAGAAGGGGAGGATCACATTTGGTGAGAGGCACTGGGAGCAGGGAGGATGGCCCACTTGTACAGAAAGCGGGGGACACACCTGGAGCCCCTGCCCACCTGTGCTCGCCAGGCACCCTGTGTCTCCCATAACTGGGAAATTCTCAAGAGGACAGTCCTTCCCTGAAACCTGGCCAGGATGGGTGGGAGCTTTCGAATCTGATTTCTTCAGGTGATGAACAGAATCAAATTCCAAAAGCTCGGCTATAGAGCTCGGACCCAGGACAGATGCTGTTCTGGGGGCTGTGGGCGTGTGTGCCAGGGTGGGGCAGGGCAGCCACAGTCAAAGTCCCAGTGCAGGAGCAAGTCCACCTGCCTGCGAGGACCGACTGTTGGGCAGCTTCTCTCTGGGAAGGTTTGGCTTCATTATCTGTGGCTGCACAAAGCAGGATGGCCAGACCCTCGGGTGTCAGGATCTGAAACCCTCCTGTGGGCTGGGGAGGGCAGCCAGGCGACAGGATCTTGGGAGGCAGCCTGCTCCGCACACCGGCCAGCACGCGCATTTAGAAACGGGCATGTGTTCTTGCTAGAAAACAGGCAGACATTTGCTCAGGAAAGGTCAGCGTGCACGTCTTGTTTGGACATGTTTTAAAATTGCATCCAAATGTCAGACACGGGTGGGGGGTTGTTGGCTGTGCGTGCACACACACAGTCATGCATCTGCGTTAAAGTAGGCCGTGCTTCTGGTGGTTGGGGCTGCCGATGAGGTTTGCAGTGAGCCTGACCCGCTGCAGACCTTTCCAGTAAAAGCCACTCTGAGCTTCCCACACAAGGAGACAACACGTGTGTCCTTGGACCCTGCAGGCTCCTGCCTGCAGGCCTCTGAGCTTCACTTGCTCTCGGGGTGCCTGAATGCGGTGATCTGTCCCATCCCTGACCCAGCCCTGTGGTGAGCAGCACCTCCGTCACACATGCTCAGTAGCCTGACTACCCCCTGAATTCAGGGGCATGCAATAGTCTGAGGTCTCCGCAAAGCAGGAGTAGCTGAGAGGACACAGTGGCTGTCTCTTTGCTTCTGCTGTGATTGTGTTCACAGCAGAGAAAAACTGAGTGCAGCCTGTCCTGTCCTCACCTCCAAGACCATCAGCATAGACCCCAGCCCTGCAGTGGGAGCAGCAGGCAGGCCATAGGCCCAGGAAAGAGCTCCACACTCCAGATGTCTACCCCCAAGGCCCCGACAACCCTGGTGTCCTTGTTTTTCCAGCCGACTTCAACAGGTTTGTGGAAATGGACCCAGACTTCGCAGAGGAGTATCTGTACCCCAACCAGCCGCCTTTCGAGAGCTGTGCACAGACACCCCCTGCTCCTACCCCCAACGGCTTCTGTGCTGACTTCAGCCCTGAGAACTTGGATGCTGGGAAGAAGCCCGGGCATAAGAAACTGGACTAGGACAGAAGGTGCTGAAGACACGAGGCTGCTCCCTGGCGGTCACTGCCCTGCCTCCACGCGGCTGCGAGCCCATCTGCTGTGACCACCTCCGGGTTCCACTCTCCACATAGGCTGCACGTTTACTGTCTGCAGGCCCGCCTTCCAGGGGCTGGGTTTGTTTTCATGCTGCTTCTCTGTGAGGCACTAGCCTGTGGGGCGCCTGTGGGGCACCTGGACGGAAAACCTCATGCCCACAGCGCCTGGTCTCCTCACAGCGAGACTGCGTGGGGGTGCCCTGGGCCTCACGGCCTGGCTCCGGGGTCTCCCTGCCAGGCAGGTCCTCGGGGGGCTGGGTGGAAATCAGGCATGGCTGTTTCCGCCCGTGGTGCCCCGGTTTTGGGTTTCCATCTCCCTCTTTCCACACTGCCCCCTGTGGTCAGCGGGAGGCCGCACACACAGGCCGGCGGCCTCCGCGCACACTCGGAAGGTGGGACGCGTGGCACGTGTTTCGGTTCCAGCACAAACCCTCTGCCGACCTCTGGGGTCACAGTGTGGCCGACCCGCCATCTGGTTTTTAAACATTTCTATATTTGTGGGAGTTCATGAGTATTTTATAAACTTCATTTAGATACTTCAGGAGACACTTAGCATTTTTTTAAAGAAAAATTGTTTTTCTACTTCATTTTCTTTTGAGGGTCAGAGGATATTTATTTATAGGCCTTTTTTTTTGATAGAATCTGAGGCTGTTTGTGTCTTTGACATCACTTTCTCTCTGACCTTTCTCGACCAGGTCGGTTTCTCTCCTGTTTGGGCCACCACGAGCAAGCACCAGCCCAGAACTGCTATTTCCAATCCTTAATCCTTTTTAGGCCCCATCTTTTTTTACAAATGTTAATTTCTGTTGTAATACGAGGTCATCTACTTCATCGTAGCGTCCACCGCAGCAGAAGCATTGAACGTGGGTGGCGCAAGTGAGGACAGAGGACTGGTCCCCGTCATTTGTGGTGTGTGGGGCCGTGCACCTGGAGCCGACGGCAGCCCTGGGGCAGATGGGCGGGCCCTGCTCCTAGGGACCATCTCCCCTTTTGCTCTGGCTCCATGGTGAGCAGGATGAAGGAGCCGCCCTACAGGCAAATGAACTGTGTGGACAGAAACAGTATGGAGAGTAGTGGGATCAGGTGACAGCCAGCAGATGTCCCTCCTGTCAGGGTGACAGGGGTGGCATTGGTTCTGACAGAGAAGAGCTCAGGTCCCTCAGAACTTGGGTCAGGTGAGGAGAGGTGCTTCCTGGTGCAGGAAGGGGGATGCAGCGGTGTTGCCTCTGCTGTTCCTGAAATCGCTGTGGTTCGTCTCCTTAGGCCGCGACTGGGACCTGTCCTTAAAGCACAGTCATGACCACAGACTCCAGTCTGTGCCCTGAAGCAAAGCCTCTGGGTTCCTTTGGGGAAATCATTTTTTGTTTTAATTTCTAAAATGAATGTTATATTAGGGGCCTGAAAGTGACCACCAGGGCCAGAAGCACAGGGAAAATGTTTACTAACTTCCTGAGGCACGACGTGCGTGTCTGCCGCTAGACGTCAGGACACCCCTGGCCTCCAGCCAGCGGCCCCTCCACCTTGTTTCAGCTGCTCACTGCCAGCCAGGACGCACACAGGGCCGGGGTGGGCTGAGGCCCGTTCTGGGTGCTCGGCTTGTCAGACATCTCAGACGCAGCCTTGGTAGCTGATGGTGATTGATTTTCTAATCCTAAAATGCATAAAGGTTCATTTTTAAAAGAGGAAAACCTACCCGTGACCAATGAAGGAGGTGAATAAACTAAGATATTCTGAGGGAAGGGGCCCAAGCCTGCGGCCTCCTTCCTTCATGTCTGTGGATGAAGGGTTTTTGGAATGAAATGCCTCTGGGCATTTTCAGGAAAAAAATCTCTGAGAAGCAGACTTTGAATGGATGTTTGCGCCTCCTGATCCCCTTTCTCTGCCATAGTGATTGAATGGCATTCAGAACTGTGAGTGTACATAGTGTCAGAACCTAATCCCTTCGGTGTGAGACAAGGACGGAGCGGCGAGTGCGCCCCCGGCCCCGCTGCCTGTGGGGGCCCTGCTGGGTCGCAGGGGCCCTGCTGCAAAGGGTGCCATGTAAAGAACTTCGGATTTTCAGTGGAGTGAATAAAACAAAGTCCTATGTACTTGAAGATGCTCTTTGTTACGTGTGTTTTCTTTTTTTTTACTAGACGACACAAACATTCCTTAGGCTGTGATGGGAGAACCAGTCAAGACGAGATTTCTAGGAAACAACAGAAATTCTGCAGAAGCAGCGAAGGGCCCGGAGTGTCAGCGTCTCGTGGACAAGAGCTGACGTTTCACAGAACTCAGGCTCACATGGCTGCCGCCCAGGTGGATTGATTTTAGTAATTCCTCTATATTAAGCACACACACCTTAAATACACTTTCCAGTCCTCCTCTTAAGTCAGTAAAGGATGTAGAAATAGAAGTAAAACAAATAGAACTGTGGTATTACAATCCCGAATGCTGGGTGCGAAAGCATCCAGGTTGTGGAGTCCCTCCCTGGCTTCAAGGTGACCCTTAGACACGTGGTTTGTTCACAGAAACAAGTCAGGAGCCGCCGGCAGGCGTGACAGCAGGACGCACACCCCCGGGCCATTGTTCATGCGGCCGTCCGTTTTACGTGTTACTTTGTGCTGGTGGGCCCTCTTCAACATAAATGTGTATTGCCTTTTGGGTTCAATTTATTTGACTTCTTTAAGTAAAGGGAAGGGATAAAGCAAAGACAGAATCTGGATATTTGACATCCAAAGATGGACTCAGGTTTCCGGTCAAAGAAACTGCAGCAGCCGTAGAGCAGAAAGGGCAGTGTCTGCACGTGGTGATGCAGCGTGTGCCTGCCGTGGAGTTGCCTCAGACCTGCCTTCTCCTGTGTGTGCAGCTCCCCTGCATTCTGATTGGAACGGCTGCTGCTGGAGGTTCCATCAGAATCCAGAAAACAAGAAAGTCTCTGCCCTCTCCTCTGCCACCCTGCCAGTTTTCACTACCAATATCCCAGTCCCTCCCCGACATCTACTGACCCAACTAGGAGCTGCTAACGAATGACCAGCACTGTCCATCCCACAGCTGCCTAGCCTCCATTCTCACCCTTCTTCTCATGTGTGAGATACACCCACTATGTGTGGTGCACCCACTGTGTGTGGCATGCCCACTATGCGAGGTGCACCCACTGTGTATGGGACACCCACTGTATGTGGTATGCCCACTATGTGAGGAACACCCACTATGTGTGGCGCACCCACTGTGTGTGGCATGCCCACTATGCGAGGTGCACCCACTGTGTATGGGACACCCACTGTATGTGGTATGCCCACTATGTGAGGAACACCCACTATGTGTGGCGCACCCACTGTTTGTGGCTTGCCCACTATGCGAGGTACACCCACTGTGTGTGGCACACCCACTGTGTTTCCCCCTGACGTGATACGATGACCATGCCTCCAAACTGATCCTTTGGCCTTCTCCCAAAAATATGACTCTTCAAGTCCTCCAGGAGACGTTAATTCCAGCCTAGTCACATGCCTGCCTGGATATGCTCTAACATGAAAACCGAGTTCATCATTCAACCCTGAAAAAAAAGGTTCATTCATCACCATCCGCATTCCCTCTATAAAATAGTAGTAGACACCAAGGAGTGGGGGAAGTGAGTAAGTAGTTAAACTAGGGTCTCGCACAGGCACACGTGCACACACACCAGGCCAGGAAGACAGTCTGCATTGTCACCATTTCTGCAGCCAGTGAAGAGGTTGCAGCAGTTGTACTTAAGTCTTCTACCCCACCCCACCCCCCTGGTCCATGGTCCGTGTTCACCTGCGTCCAACCAGTACCTAAGTACCTAAGGTTAGAATTCTTTACCTGGTGAAGGGATTCAAATTTTTATCCCAAAGTGCCTGTCTTGCATTTATTAGTCACTGTGGGAGTCGTGAAAGTACGAGCAGGAGCCCAGTGGTGCAGTAACCACACCCCGCTCCCTATGTGGTTAGTGTCGGGGCCACTCTGCCGTCCTGTCGGTTCAGTCACTGGAGTAGCGGCATGTAGCTGCTGAGCATCTGAATTGCAAGTGCAGTGGGTTCATTGTGTCCCCAAGCAGGAGCATCCGTCCTCGGAAATAAATCCCTTTTAGGCAGAAGAGCCCAAATGTGCAGAGAAAAGAAGAGAAAGGTGAACAGGCTGGCCAGTCAGCGTGACTTGTCTGCTGTGATAACAAGGGCTCGAGATTCAGGATCAGCAGGTACATCACTCTCACCTTTTCTCAGGCCGCTTGCAGCTCCGCGCAGCACCTTCATTGTGTCCCAGTCTGGTAGCACCACCCCTCTCCTGGGACTGAGCTGGGGGAACAGCACAGGGCACAGAAGTGGCAAACCACACACTGGGTGCTAAGTCTTCTATGTCCCAAGTGAATCACATGGCTGCAGTGTAACTCCATGCGCAGGAAATGTGCTCCTGTAGAGGTGGGCGCTGCAAGGCAGGGAAGGAAAATGTGAACACAAAATAACACACATCACCTTCCATTCTGTCAGGCCAGCTGTTCTGGGTAGGGAGAACTTGGGAGGAGCTCGAAGTTCAAGTGTGTGCCTGAGGCCATGTTTCCTTTGCAGTAAAATGAATTCCTTAGCAATTTAATACAAGACAGGCAATGGCGAGTCAGGCACTTAGCCCACAGGTGGTGCGGAAGCAATTCCAAGGGCAAAAAAGACAAATCCTTATCAGGATAAGAGCATTAAAACGAGGACAAGCTTGTTCTCTTGACAACGGGAGTGTTTAGTGTGAAATGAGCAGGACCCCCAGAATGCAGTACCACCTGGGGTCAGCCCCGGACCATCTTCTGACGAGGTGGGAATCCAGTGACGGCCACATTGGCTGAGGCTGTTCTTGCTGATCTCTTGTCGATCGTGCGTCATCTCAGTCCCCCCAGTGCCCCTTATTGTGGGGTCCAGGGAGTGCACGCTGGGAGAGCGGCAGGCTGTCCGTCATGTGTGCCTGGCCCCGGGCGGGACCACAGAGAAGGAAGCTGTCAGTGACCCGTGCAGGTCCCAGTGAAGCACAGGCCAAAAAAGCTGACCAAAAAAAAATAAGGTGTTTTATCACATGTGATTGGAGGGGCCGGTTAGGAAAAAATGACTTGATAAATAATGGCCAGAATTATAAGCTCAAACATCCAAGGAGCTCAATAAGCCTCAAGCAGAATAAATATAACAAAAATACAAGAAGGCACACTATAAAATTCTCAAAGCCACTGATAAAATCTTAAAAGCAGCCAGAGAAGAAGCAACTTTACCACAGAACCAAGGTAAGGGTGGCGTGCATGCAGTGATCGGTTCTGCCCAGAGGGTCAGGGCTGTTTGAAGGTGGACGGAGATCATTTAAAGGCGCATGTCCTAAGTTCCCCAAAGAAAACACAGAGGTGTAACTAACAAGCCAACAGGGCACATAAGGTGGGATATTTTCAAGTAATTATTTTATCCAAACTAAGCAGGAAAGTTAGGGAAAAAAGAACAAGATACAGATAACACAAATAGAAAACAAATAGCAAGTGGTAAACTTAAATTCAACCACACTAATAATAGCATTAAATTTAGACTAAAAACTCCAACATAGCCATTGCTAGACCAAATGAACAGAAAAAAACATCCGTTCAAACACAAAGTGAAAGCGAAAGAATTGGGAAACATATGTAACATGCAAGCGTAACATAACAGTTGATGCAGCAAGAAGAACATCCCCCTAAGTGGCCTTTCGGGAGAAGCACCTGAGTTGAAGGCAAATGTGGCGGGACAGTGAAGGGTTCAGTTCCGCTGCAAGACACAGTGACCCTGCAGGTGTCTGCACAGAAGACAGAGCTTAGCAGAGAGAAACAAATCAAACCTAGTTGGAGATTTTAACACAGCCCTCTCAGTAATCGACAGAACCACCAGGGAAACATAATTACGTGGAACATTTGAACAATGCCATTTACCAAACGGACTTAATTGCCGTTTCAAGTGCACACGAAGCAGCTGACAAAATAGACTACGTGTTTGGTTAAAGAGTAAATCTCAATACATTTCAAAATGTTTAAGTCATACGGAGTATGTTCCCTCATGAAAGTGGAGCTAAATGATGGAGTCTGCCCGTGTTCCAGGGGCGGAACTGAGCTGCGCAGCCCCCCCACTAACGCCCGCAAGGGAGGAGGCAGCTGTGTTGGTGCTGCCAGCGAGGCTGATCTCTGCCACATAACATTGTCAGGAGCCGGTGAGGTTCTGATTAATTCTTTTAAATGGGATTTTAAAAAAGAGTCCAAAATTTTGCTTCCGGTCAAAATGGAGGAAGAGAGACTGGACCCACACTCGCTCTTGGTGAAAAACTCAGGCAGGTTTTTTTCTCAGTAGTGAGGAAATAAACAAAACACTTCTCTGGTCCAGTCGAACAAAGTTAAAAGCAAGAGCTGAAAGAATGGCCAGACTGTTTATAAGTAGTCACCTGCAGCCCCAAACAAAGCTCCAGAATATTCCCGGTAATGCAGAATTATGCAGCACCCCATAAAGTAGAAGTTACAATGTATGACATCGAATCAGAAATCACCTCAATGCAAAAAAGCAAGAAAGATGATCTATAATCGATTTAAAAAAAAAAAAAAAAACCCAGGTCCAGAGCCCTGGCTGCTGCGTCTCAGTGGATTGAATGCTGGCCTGCGAACCAAAGGGTCACTGGTTTGATTTCCAGTCAAGGCACATGCCTGGGGTCAGGTCCCCAGTAGGGGGTGCACCAGAGGCATCCACACATTGATGTTTTTCCTCCCTCTCTTTCTCCTTCCCTTTTCACTCTAAAATTAAATAAATGAAATCTTTTTTAAAAAACAGACCCAGAAATGACTTAGGTACTGGAATTTAGTTGGTGAGATTCATTTGCTTTACAATATAACTGTATTACTTAGTTCAGAAAGCCAGTGGCAGACAAGATTGACCACGTTCAGTAGAGTTGTGAGAGATCTTTTATGAGATAACTATGAATTTAGCACGAAAACTACAGTGTTGGAAATGCAAAGCACACGAGAGCAGGGGTGGGTCCGCCATCACAGAAGACGCGCCAGTCCAACCAACCATCCAGAACAACACAAAGAAGACAGAAAGTTGCACTGACCACCGGTGAATC